GAGGCTTTACTGTATAGACGGCCTTGCCCGGAACGATCTGAACTCCCGGGAGGGCCAAAAAGCCACTGGCTTCACGACCCACCTCTTGTCGTTGCAACTGTCCTTGTGCACTGGCATCCGAGCATTCTGCACCAAAGTCACCGAAGTAAAAACCTCCTCTGGGAACAAGGAAACAAGTTGTGCAACTTTCTGAGTGAGCACCGGGTTCTCCTTTGTGGCATTGGTAATACCCAGCACCCCACCATGCTGAAAAGCTCCCAGCGTCGTGTACCCCTCCTGAGGTTGTGGTTCCCCCTTTCCGAGTAGTTGAGGTCTTTTGACACCCCCAAGAACACCGTCCTTGTCCAACATCTTGACGATCTCCTTCTGCAAAGCATTTCGTCGCTCCTTTAGGGTCCTGACATCCATGGCCTTGGCCTTGATACCATCTTCATCCACAGCGGTTTTTTCGTGTAGCCGTCTGCGAGGGGGAGGTTCAACGACCATCTCGGGTTCCTGGTCAATCGTTCCAGGGTCCACCAACTTGGGCCTTAAATGCGTCGAGACCGTGAATCGATTCGTCTCCTCCTCCAGGATCGCCGAGCCCTGATTCACATCCCACACCGGTCCCATGTAGATCCCCTTGACCCACCGTGGTAGAAGGTCGAGCTTACCGCCTTGGCCATAGTACTTCTTCTTGATCGCGACCTTGGCCCCGTAGGCTGCGGGGATGTTGGTGAATTCCGGCCGTAGACGCTCCTCCCGCTGGCGATGAGCGTCTGTGGCCATTGCCGTAGCCCAGTGTTGAACTCCAAGATCCGCCGACCTCAAAAGAGACCTCGCTCTACCCTTTAGGAACCGGACAGCTCGCTCAGCTGTCTCATTCGATTGGGGAGCTTGTCCTTCCGTTCTGGTCAATAGAATATTGTTGTCGAGGGTCCATTGTCGCAAGGCTTCGGATCTCATCTCATGGGCCCTGTCTGCATGTATTCTGACCACAGGCAAATTCTCCATCCGAAGTTGCAACACTATTTCTTGTATCGCCTTCAGGACGTGCTTCCCGCTTTTCCCTTTCAAAGGTTTGAAATAGTATAAGAAATCCGTCGGCACCTCATGGTTTCCCTGTTCTTCTTGGGCCTCTTGTGCCTCTCGTTCCTGCTCAATAGCAGCGAAGTCGTCATCGTCCCATAGGCCTTTTGTATCACCCACCTTGCGCAAGAGAGGTTCCAAATCCTCTTCTGAAGGGGAATACTGTTCATCTCCTCCAAGTAGCTCAGCTTCTTCAGGGGAATCAAACGCTCCTCCTCCAGGTGGGTTCGAATCATCTGGTTGAGGAAATTCGGCCTCGAGGTTCTTGAAGTCGTAATCGCAAGCCGCCAAATCCTCTGGAAGGTCCTCGGCCGGGGGGTCCTGGTCCTCAAACTTAGGCCTTGTGTAAGAGGCTGCCAAGAAGTACTTGTAACCCGAACCATGGGCGTCCTTGCTGGTAGCCCGTAAAGGACCACCCACGTCAACACTCAGCACGTAGCAGCTCTTCTGTTTGACCCTCCGGTGAGGGCGACCCGTCCCCATCATCATCACACACACTGTTCACAATCACGTCTGAAGGGACAATGATCTCGTAGAATGTGAAGTTTCCATCCTTGCTCCTTGGTGAGCTTGCGAAGCTCCGGGGTTTCTCGAACGTCTCCTCGTTCAGCACCATCTCCAAGTCCTCTGTGTCGAATCCCATCATAAACGGCACGACGTAGACCAGGACACCATACGCGAGGAGGGCATTCCGGATCTTCTCCCGGACATAGAACGGAGGGTCTTTCGTCCCGAGTATTATGCAACGTTTCCAAGCCCACGTTGTTTAGAATCTTCATCGGCGCCTTTGACGAATGTCCTAGGGCGCCCTGATCAAACTCACTCGCGCAAACACCCACCTCTGCAACCACCTCTTGGAACGCCTTCATCATTTCTGACTTCCAGAAGCCCTTGCTTGCCAAAGGGGCCCCTATAGAAACCAAAGGTTCTGCTCCTTGCGTGGCGGTATAGGCGGTGAGGTACAGGAACAAGGTCTTTGCCAGCATCTCCTTGTCTTTATCACAGCGAGCTTGATGGCTTGCAGGGGTCATAAACTCTCCCATAGGCTCGAACCCCTTTGTAGGGGGCGAAGCGACCACTGCCTTCACCCTCGAGTTCATTGCGCCCCAAAGCAAAGCCTTGTACATCTCGCCTTGCAAGTTCCATCCCGCTGACAACATCACATCCACATTGAGAATAACAGCCTCGCCTGTAAACTGCGTCGAGGTTGTCCCGGAAAGGGCTTGAAGAGGGTCTCGGCGTTTATCGCCTCCGGCAAACATGTTCAACACCCACGTATCAGACCTGTACAGCCTTTTTCGTACTCGGCGAGGAAGGGGAAGGAGCTTCAAATATTCCCAGCCAGCCTTCTCAGACAGGTCAATCTCCGGGGCCATTGCAACTCTCACCTGATTGGGTAAGTCCCCAAACATTGGTGACAAGTGGATAGCCTGCAACCCGTCCACCGCGGCAATCTTCTCAACATACCTCGCCATCTTTGTCCTCCAACCCAAGTTCTGCTGCTGCATCATGCGGAGCGCTGTCAACTGATCTTGAAGTTGTTGAGCTCTCTCCTTGAGCTCCGCAACCTTCTTCATTTCCAACTCCGCGATGATTGCAGCCGCCTGGCCTGCATCGGTAATCTCGGGACATCCCGAGCGTACTCTCGCTTTTATACGACCATGCCTCGGGTGGTGAAGGTGGAAGCCGGCCTTGGTCCACTTCAAGGTGGAGCCTAAACATTCAATAACCTTGCCGAAGGGAATGATTGACTGCACCATAGCCGCGTCCTTGTCACCAACGATAATGCTCCCGCTGGGGGTTTGGTCCAGCCGTCTTCGCTCATCTCCAGCTAGCGTCACGTACACCTGTTGGGCTTTTGCTTTCTCCTCCTCGTCCTTGGCGGGCCTTAACACATGTGTTGAGCCTGAGTCCAACGAGGTTCCCTTATCATCGTCCCCAAGCTCAGAAAAGACCTTCATTGCATGTAGATGGAGGTCTTCAAGCGGTGGCGCCAAGGGACCTGAGTCGGTCTTGGCATCGTCATTCGCAGGGGTTTCAAGCTTCGCTCCACTGCCTCTTCGAGGACCTCCAAGCCCACACGGTTCACCTTCAACCCTGAGGGATTTCAAACGAAGTTCATCAAGCTGCTTCTGTATCGACTCATACGAGGGTGCCGAAGAGGAAGAGCTCGCTGCAGGAACAGAGTCCCCTTTTGCTAGCGTTGACTTTAGCATACGAGACGCGCCCGCCAACATCTGCTTGATCTCCTCCGGCCTTTCTTCTTCTGGCGCATCCTTTGATCTTGCCGCCGAAGGCGAGGTTGTAGGAGAGGGTTCTGCGGCAGGTTGTGGCAGAGTACTGGCTGGGGTAGTGGATTCCGGCACTGTAGTCAGGGATCTGGTAGCCGTCGCGGTTGAAGAGGAAGAGCTCGGTGCTGCTTCTGGTCTGGGCTTGGCGAGCTTAGCGCTGGCTCCCTTCTCCTTGACTGGGCAGTCCTTCTTAACATGCGCCGTGCTCGAACATACCAAACAGCGACCAGTCTTGGATGTACTCCCCCAGTCATGGCTGAAGGTGCAATCAACGCCCCGACGACATCCGGAATCGGTCTTCGCGAACCATCTACACGGTTTTTCTTTCTGCGGGGTCGCCTTGGGCTTTGCGCTTGGCGTGGAAGTGGTAGGTGACGATGAGGAAGCCGGGTCCCCGCTTGTAACACTCCTCACCTTGGGACCAGGACCTGGTTTCGTTGCGGTAGAGGCCGTTGCGAGCAGCTCCATTTCTGCTTGCAGATGCTTATAGTAGTCCAAGGTCGTCTCCTCGGTCGGGTTGCTGTCCAACTTCAGCTTTTGCCTGACCATTGATGTACGTAGCCATACATCTTGATGCCGTGAAAGAACTCCCGAAACTAGAAAGCTGAGGCCCTTGATCATCAACACCGGGTCTGGTACTGCCACAGTCAGGTCCTTTGCTCTGGCATGCCAACGCCCCCAACGACAAAGACCACGAACAGCCTCCTCGGCGGTGTTGGCAACCTCGGGGCTGGTGAGCTGTTGCAACAAAAGGGTCTTTTCCGGGGTTAGGGCAGCCAAAACCATTCCAGCAGCCCGAGCATTCACCCTACCATAGCGCCCTTGCTCGAGCGAGGCATTCTTTGGCATCGCCAACGAGATTTTCTCCAGGGGTGTAGACTTCACCCATTTTCTGTAGTGCTCCTCCGCGTAGTCCTTTACTTGTATAGCCCATTCCCAGCTGGAATCGCTGAGATCCGTCATCACACTCCCAGCTTCTTCCAGCCAATCTTGGCCCGGCTGCGATAACGAAGGCAGCGAGGAAATCCCAGGTTTGACCACCTCCGGCACGTCCGAGCGCTTCTCCAACTGACGTAGCTGTACATCCTGTAGCTGTCTCATACCCGTAGCGATCACGCCCAGCAGTTCCATGGTTGAAGGTGTGGGGCTAGACGATTTCCCGAGGTGCTTTGGTCTCTGGGGTCCTTGGTTCGCCTCTGGGACTTCTGCCTCCACTGTTGGCTCCCTCTCAGCGCCTTATCCCTTCCAACAGATCAAAGTACTCCGTCGTACCCCGAGACTGCTCTGCTCCACTCCCGATACCATGGACTTCTTGACTTACGCCTGTAGCCCGATCACCTCCTGGTACAGCATAATGCTCCTTTGTAGCCCGATCACCTCCTGGTACAGCATAATGCTCTGTTGTAGCCCGATCACCTCCTGGTACAGCATAATGCTCGCTTGTAGCCCGATCGCCTCCAGGTACGGCATAATGCGCAGTTGTAGCCCGATCACCTCCTGGTACGGCATAATGCGCACTTGTAGCCCGATCACCTCCTGGTACGGCATAATGGGCACTTGTAGCCCGATCACCTCCTGGTACGGTTTGATGCGACCTTGAGAGCCTTTCGCATTCCATTTGAAGGCGTTCAACCTCATCTCTCAAGCGCTGAGCCTCCCCGTCATGCCGCTCGACATAGTCTCGAAGTTGCCGCTGTACTTCGGCCTGGACTTCCTGCGAAGATGTAGAGCTTGGAGGGCGGTATAGAAGTGGAGCTTCCCTTTCGAACCTCCCAAATCTTGCCACCTGCTCAGATGTAAACAAGGCCGAAGGCAACGTAGAGGGCGAGGGCTCCGAAACTCGTCCTGCGGGTCACCAAGGCGAACCATCCACTGGTACCGGTGGTGGAGGTGGCGGAGGCGACGGCATTCGTCGCACCGTTGGTGACGGTGAAGCCGCCGTTGAGATAGGCGGCGGTGGTAGCGGCCTAGTCTCCATCACATAGTTCTGCAAGTCCTGAGGTCTCATCACCCTCGTCGAAGGGGACATTGCAGCTGCCGCTTGTTGCTGAAATGCTAGCTGCTGGCGGGCTTGTTGGAAGTTCGAATGTTGCTGCTGCAGCGTGGGTAGGCTCTGTGGGTGCTGAGTGGTCATTGAACCCAAACCCAAACCTTCAAGGAACCTACCCTGAAATCCGTTCGCTCTCGTAGACGACCGTAAAAATTCCGTAAGACGTGCTACCCAGCGCACCGCCGGCTGGCCCTCAGCTTGTTGAAAAGAATATTCCATAGCCACTGTCCTCTCGGCCTGATGCGGTTCCTCATCTCGAGGAGGGTGTTCTCGCCTGACCGGTGACGACGCTCTGGTAGGTATTGACTCATACCCTGCACTGCTTCCAGGGCTTAACGCTGTCGCTTGATCTGCCAGGGGAACGGCTGGAGGCACCTCATCTGTTCATGGTTGCGACCCTCGTCGGGAGGCCCTGTTATCCGTGGTTCCGCCCTCAGCGGTCCTTCACGAACAACATCTTCCCTCCAAGGATCCACTCCATTCAGCTGTGGCCGGTTCTGCAGAGCTTGTCTCTCCCCACGATCCTCAACAGCTGCCTGTTCGCGTGCTTCTTGATGTGCCTGCCCATAGTTCGGCCCCGTCTCCTCTCCTTCCAAAGCCGGCGGAGTCGGCACGGAGGGTTGGGCGCTCATAACCTGTGGTTGTCTGGTAGGGCTCAAAAGCCTTCTCCTTCCAGACAGAAACGTTGTTGTCACAGACTAAGGCAGAACACCATGGCGCAAGCACGCTCAAACGAATTTGCCCGCACACCGACAAAGTCAACCTGTATGGGGTCATGCGCTTCTGTGCACAGCATGCCCTAGCCTAAGCTAACGGTTGAGGTCCTGTGCCTACAAGGGCGAAGTGCA